TATATGGTGGACACAGTATGGTTGAAGTACTATTGTATACTATATGGTGGACACAGTATGGTTGAAGTACTATTGTATACTATATGGTGGACACAGTATGGTTGAAGTACTATTGTATACTATATGGTGGACACAGTGTGGTTGTATACTATATGGTGGACACAGTGTGGTTGTAGTACTATTGTATACTATATGGTGGACACAGTATGGTTGAAGTACTATTGTATACTATATGGCGGACACGGTGTGGTTGTATACTATATGGCGGACACAATGTGGTTGTATACTATATGGTGGACACAATGTGGTTGTATACTACTCTTCTTCTTTGAAAGTCTTAAGGGATTGAATAAAGAATTTGGTGTTAAAAGTACAATAGGCCTAATACTAATGTTTCATGACAAGTATCAGTAACATAACTATGTTTTGATTTTCATTCCAGAAAACCGGTAGTACTGGATACGGTACATATGGCAGCAGTCATTCAGGGGCAAGTAAGGTGAGTTGTAAACATTACTTGGAAAACAAACTTCGCTTTACACAGATTGTTTGTATTAAAGAACTAAAAGACAAAAGTATCAACATAGAAATAGATATATTTTTAAAATGTTTGTTTTTTTACGATGAAGTCTGTTTGGGTGCACATCAATTCAAAAACCACAATAGAAATAAGTATCCAATTTTGTCTCTTCTTGGGACGTTGCGTGGCCCAGTGGTTAGCGTGCCGAACTGTGGATTTGAGATTCCCTGTTTCGCGCCCCATTACCTTCATGGAAAATCACGCTCTGCACTTTCGAGTTATAAGAGCGATAGATAAATCTCACTGTTCACTCTGACTATAGTAACCCTTGAGTTGCCAATAGATGGTGCTGACTAGCTGCCTTCCTTCTAGTCTATCACTTCAAAATTAATGACGGCTATCACAGATAACCATCGTGTAGGTTGGCGTGAAATCCAGCAAAAACAAGCAACGCTTCTCTTTATGCGGAATTTTACTTTAATTGCAGGTAAGAATCGTGTAGGTTGACGTAAAATTCAACAAACAACGCTTCTCTTGATGCGGATTTTTACTTCAATTGCAGGTAACCATTGTGAAGGTTGACGTGAAATTCAACAAAAACAATCAACGCTTCTCTTGATGCGGATTTTTACTTCAATTGCAGGTAACCATTGTGAAGGTTGACGTGAAATTCAACAAAAACAAACGACGCTTCTCTTGATGCGGATTTTTACTTCAATTGCAGGTAACCATCGTGTAGGTTGACGTGAAATTCAACAAAAACAAACGACGCTTCTCTTGATGCGGATTTTTACTTCAATTGCAGGTAACCATCGTGTAGGTTGACGTGAAATTCAACAAAAAACAAACGATGCTTTTCTTGATTCGGATTTTTACTTCAATCGATCTAACCTTCAACACCGAGAAACAAGATATTTATTGACAAGAGTAACTTTCTTCAAACAACAGTGATATAAAAATCTACCTTATGAAACTTGTTGAACTTAGAAGAGCAGATAAGCTTTCGGTATGTTTTAAAAGATGGCAGGAACAGAAGGTGCTCATTTCTGTCATAGATGAAACTTTTCATAATCTTAACAACAGGATTTTTCAATTCACTACTGCTCATAAAATGTTTAAAGTATAGTGCGAACTATGCGTCTACATAAATGATTTTTGACTCACGTCGTGTAATTGTGTAATTGCTCCTCACGAAAACGTCACTTGGAGGCTTCATTATGATCAATAATGGCCAAAAATTGAATCAGTTTTTATTTAATCCCGAATGATCAAGTTAATATTTCTAATGATGGGACTTTATGTTCTTGAATATATATATATATATTCACACCAGCGACCTCTATCAGATAGCAAAATTTACCAAAGGTTGGCTTTAGCCTCGTATATATTCATACCAGCGACTATCAGATAGTAAAATGTAACAAAGGTTGGCTTCAGCCTCGTATGTTTTCACACCAGCGACCTCTATCAGATAGTAAAATTTAACAAAGGTTGGCTTTAGCCTCGTATGTATTCATACCAGCGACTATCAGATAGTAAAATTTAACAAAGGTTCGCTTCAGCCTCGTATGTATTCACATCAGCGACCTCTATCAGATAGCAAAATTTAACAATAAAGGAAGGTTGCCTTGAACCTTGTATATGCCCCTCAGTGGCACAGCGGTGTGTCTGTGGAGTTAAAACGCTAGAAACCGGTTTTCGATACCCGTGGTGGGCAGAGCACAGATAGCCCATTGTGTTGCTTTGTGCTTAATAAACAAATAAGTAAAAACCTTGTGTGTATGTGTTCACACTAGCGACCTCTATTACATAGCAAAGTTGAAGGAAGACTAGCTTCATTCACACCAGCGACCTCTATCAGACAACAAAATTTAACAATAAAGAAAGGTTTGCTTGACCCTTGTATGTATTCACACCAGCGACCTCTAAGATTAGAAACGACTGACCTAAGTACACCAGACATCATAATATGTTATCAGATATTGATTAAACGTCACATAAACACGCAGAATATAACATATCTGTCAAAAGTTCAGCAGCTTATGAGATTGAGGTTAGTCCTAAATACGTATGTTAAGCTAACGATGCAAAACTATTTTTATAATGAAAGTATAATACTGAAAATAAAGCTAAAATAGTAATAAAAGCAGATATATTAAACATTTCAACCAACATTATTAATAAAAGAAACTACAAAGAAAGAATAAGGTATATCTTGTCTACGGAATATAAAAGCATTAGCAATCAGCCCTCCCTGTTGCCAAATGTCTAACTCAATAAACATTCTCCCCTCCCCTCCCCCGGTAGAGACAAGTCTTGTCACCAACGTTTCTTGCTGCCGGGGCTCCCCTTCTTCACCCCCAGCTTCGACCGATCAGTTTTTGTAGTTAAACACAAAGCTTCACAATTAGCTATCTTTGCTGTACCTACCACAGGTATCGAAATCCGATTTTTAGCGTTATAAGCCTACATACTTGCCACTGGGAGGAGCAATCGATTTGTTTGTTTATTTGTTTTTCTGAACAAAGCGACATTGGGCTATCTGTTGTGTCCACCGAGGGGAATCGAACCTCTGATTTTAGCGCTTTAAGTCCGTGTGTAAGATAGTTTTTGTTCTGGCCAGGAGTCTGTGTTATCAGCTTTTAATAATATTAGAAACATAATTAGCGTATTTCACATAATTTGTTTCAAAATAAAGACTTTATGCGCGATTATAAGATTACAAAATGCAATGTTAGCGAACAGTTTTTGTCGTTTATCGAATTTTGCGCAAAACTACTCGATGAATATCTTCGTTATTCGTCCCTACTTAAGAAATGATAAACTAGAGGGAAGACGGCCAGTCAACACTATCATCCGCCAACTGTATTCGAATAGTGGAATTAGCTGTTACTTCACTACGCCCCCGCGGCTGAAAGGACGAACATGTTCAGTGATGGGAAGTTTGTTGTTAAACATAAAGATGCACAAGAGGTTATCAAGAGCCTCACCGACACCTGATTTTTAGCGTTGTAAGCTCTCAAACTTACCTGTGAGCCATCGGGGGGGGGGGGGGGGGCTAGAGAACATAAAGCAATGCTAACCCTTCTCGCGTCACTACTACGTCAGAGAAAAGAAATTAACATTAACACTTATCACATCAATACTGCGTTAGAAAACATAAAGTAACGCTAACCCTTGTTACGTCAGTACTACGTCATAGAAAAGAAACTAACATTAATACTTATGACATCAGTACTACGTTGAAGAACATAAAGTAACGCTAACCCTTGTCACGTCAGTACTACTTAGAGTACATAAAGTAGCGCTAACACTTATCAACTCGATTTTAGAAGCAACTATATCGTGTAGACTTCTGTAGAAGCAAGTTATGTGTATACCGATGTCTACTGTGCATTTAGTTCTCAAGTCATTTGCTTTAGTGCTTTAACCTTAGTTTCACCATGGCAGTGGTACTTCAACAGATTGAAGTTCAGTTTTACTTTTTGTTACTTGTAATTTCGTTCCACGTAAAAATGATGGGCATAAAAGAAAAAAAACAAGACATTTATCTAGGTGCTGCCATCTAGTGTTTTGTACTTACACTATGTATAAAATACACACTTTGTACACTTCGATAAACACTACTAACTATTCTGTTTCGTTTTATATATTTACTAACCAGTTACAGCAGTTCTCTTATTTACATGGTGTTTTCCTTTGGTTAAAAGTCAGTTAGTACGTTAGTATTTTACACTTATTTCGCTTTTCCTTGTCTCCTTCTGTACCATATATTTCCAAAGAAAATCTACAAACCCTAAAAACTTCCGATACCCCAGCTCCAAACACTAGTGTCAACATCATCTCTTGGGCGAATGAAGAAGGAATCACGTTACGAAATCCTTGGAGGGAATTCCCGCCATCCCCTTCAAGTATTCAATCCCTTTGCTACGACAACCCTAAATCAGTTCAGGTGCAAAAGATTAGTTTGAAAGTTCAAAGAATTAGTGTAATGGTCTCTGTCTGTGTGTAATTAAAATGGTTTAATTATTATTCAGAGTAAATGCATCTGTTCAAGCCACAACTCACATAGGGATAAACAAACCAACCATGAAGAGCAAGGAGTTTTCCAAACAAGTCAGGGATAAAGTGGTAGAGAAGCACGGATCATGAGAAGGTTAGAAGAGATTTTCAAAGTCTCTGATTATCCCTTTGAATATGGTGAAGTCCATCATTAAGAAGTTGATTGTGCTTCATACCACCTTGTCACTACCCTTCTAAACTAAGCGGGAAACTGGTTAGGGATGCCACTTGAAGCCAACAGTGACTTTGAAAGATTTGCAAAGTTTCGTGTCTGAGATGAGAGTCAGTGTTCATACATCGACAACATCCTGGTCCCTAGGAAAAACTTACCTGTATGGGCGAGTGGAAAGAAACAAGCCTTTACTGAAAAAGAATCATCTTAAATCTCGTATGGAGTTTGCAACAATGCATGTACATAATACTGTAGACATGTGGTAGAAGGCTTTGTGTTCAGACGAAACACAAATTAAGCTTATTGGTCTAAATTCAAAGATTTACGCCTGGCGCAAGTCCAACACAGCACATCGCCCAGTCAACACCATCCCCACTATCAAGCACGGTGGTGGCAGCATCATGTTATTGGGATGCTTCTCATAACCAGAGACTGGGAAGCTTGTCAGGATTGAGGGGCATGTGGATGGTGCAAAGTACAGGCGAATCCTAGAGGAAAAGCTGCTTGAGTCAGCCAAGAATATAAAACTGGGTCGAAAATTCACATTTTAACAGGACAATGACCCGAAGCACAAGGCCAAAGCCACACTGGAGTGGTTTCAAAAGAAGAAAGTGAATGTCCTGGAGTGGCTCAAAGTCCTGGCTTCAATCCAATAGAAAATTTATAGTGAGACTTAAAGATTGCAATCCATCAACGATCCCCAACAAACTTGTCAGAATTGAAGCAAAATTACACCATCCCATTGTGCAAAGCTGGTAGAGACCTAACCAAAAAGACTCACAGCAGTAATTGCAGCCAAAGGTGCTTCCACAAAGTACTGACTTAGGGGTTTGAATATTTAGCAATCAGCAAATTTAGATTTATATATTTTATTTGAAGGTTTTATTGACATTCAACCTCCTTCACACATAACAGTGTTAAGTTTATTCATTAGAGCTTTGAATAAAAACAAGTTCATCAAACAAAAATTTTACATGATTTGTATTTCACCAATTATTGGTAAGGGGTGATTACTTTTTGCAAGGCATTGTATATAGCAAAGATATGAGCAATGCTTCAACCAACCATTTTCGTCGTTGTACTTTAAGTACAGTTATTATACTAAAGCATTTTAGTATATTTACAGCTCAATACTAGGCATTTTCAGTTGCTCCCCAGTGGCTCAGCAGCAGGTTTGAAGGCTTATAATACTGGATTTCGATGTAACACAAATAGTTAATCTTGTAGCTGTGCGCTTAACAACAAACTAACAAACAATCTTGCTGATTGTCAGTCATGTGATCTGAAAAACAAATGGCTGGTTCATCACATGATACATTATTAAACATTAAAAATGGTTCTGTAACAACAACTCAAGAAATTCATCATATGACAGATTATTAAACGTTAAAAATAGTTCTGTAACACCAACTCAAGAAGTCCATCACATGACACATTATTAAACGTTAAAAATATTTCTGTAACAACAACTCAAGAAGTTCATCACATGATACATTATTAAACATTAAAAATGGTTCTGTAACAACAACTCAAGAAGTTCATCACATGACACATTATAAACGTTAAAAATGGTTCTGTAACAACAACTCAAGAAGTTCATCACATGACACATTATTAAACGTTAAAAATAGTTCTGTAACAAGAACTCAAGACGTTCATTACATGTTACATTATTAAACATTAAAAATAGTTCTGTAACAACAACTCAAGAAATTCATCATATGACACATTATTAAACGTTAAAAATAGTTCTGTAACAAGAACTCAAGACGTTCATTACATGTTACATTATTAAACATTGAAAATGGTTCTGTAACAACAACTCAAGAAATTCATCATATGACACATTATTAAACGTTAAAAATAGTTATGTAACAGCACCTTGCTATAAGATGATAATACAAAAATGGGTCTCGGACTGAAAATGTCTTAAAACCGCATAGTGGATAGTTTGAAGCACGGGTGGTATCGATATTTGAGCCCTAGTAGGACATTCAAACTTGTTTACTTACTTTATCAAACACAATGTCAATAATTCTACCATTTTTAGCTGTAAATGTTTTACACTTTCAAGAGTATAACTCAGATTATTTCAACAAAATAAACTGATATCTTCTGGCAGATATATAAATATGAACAAGGTTTAACCTTATCATCTGATGTTTTACTTATAACTTTCGTTACATATCACGTGATCTATTGAGTTTGATTATTATTTGATCATTTGATTATTATCAGCTTTCTTTTTCGTGAAAGTTTAAGAAATCTTGCATTCAACACATTATACTAACAATAACAATCCTGTGCGATTTTTGTTTATTTACAGCCCGATGTTATTACCTCCGTTATGTTTTCACCCCTGTGTGTGTGTTTGTCGGTAAGGTTTCTCGAAAACGCCTGAATGGATTTGGACGAAAGTTGGTATACATTTGGTCTATGATCCAACTTAGAAGTTATTAGTTTTTGGAAGGTCAAGGTCACGAAAATAAAAAAATCCCTGTCTGTTAACATGTGGACTGATTTTTCACACTATTTTATGCTCTATAACCCAGTCAAAAATGATCGGACTTTGATGAAACTTGGTGTACATATGTAGAATATTATTCCATTATGTCTTGCCTAAGTGTCCGTTGATAATGACAGACATACGGACACATTTTTGTGAGAGCCGAATATGCTCAACTCTGCGTGGGGGAGGTATATGCTCTACTGAGTGCCCCCCTAGTTAGGAAATGTAACCATAGGAAAAGTTTTAAGTATTGGAAACTCCGAGATTACAACAATGGTTATAGCTAGAGTCCTCAAACCCTAAAAAAATAATTCAGGACTTAAATATAAGGAGTTTCCCGGTTTCCAACCAACCAATATCATGTTAACAATAAAACCACTTGTGACTTAATTAGAAGGATTTTCCGATTCCTAACCAACCAATACTATGTTAACAACGAATACACTTGTGACTTAATTTGAAAGATTTTCCAACCAAACCCAATATCATATATCATGTTAACAACGAATACACTTGTGACTTAATTAGAAGGATTTTCCGGTTCCCAACCAACCAATACTATGTTAACAACGAATACACTTGTGACTTAATTTGAAAGATTTTCCAACCAAACCCAATATCATATATCATGTTAACAACGAATACACTTGTGACTTAATTTGAAAGATTTTCCAACCAAACCCAATATCATGTTAACAACGAAACCACTTGTGACTTAATTAGAAAGATTTTCCAACCAAACCCAATATCATGTTAACAACGAAACCACTTGTGACTTAATTAGAAGGAATTTCCTGTTTCCAACCAACCAATATCATGTTAACAACGAAACCACTTGTGACTTAATTAGAAGGAATTTCCTGTTTCCAACCAACCGATATCATGTTAACAACGAAACCACTTGTGACTTAATTAGAAAGATTTTCCGGTCTCCAACCAATCAGTACCATCTTAGCAACAAAACTACTTGTGATAAACAAAAGAACAAAGATAAAGAGAGTAACGTTGGAGTTGTGACAATTATTACGACAAACAGATGCTGTACTTGACTTATTGGTTAGTGTAACTGGCTGCGGAGCGGAAGGACGAAGCTACGAGCCGGTGAGAGAGTACGCTGAACACGCTCCACGCCATCACTTAGGGTGTTTTATAAAAATGGCACTTAATTTTGCTATTCAGTAAGAGTAGCCATGTGAGTACCTGGTACTTTCTACTGGCTACCCTCCCTCTGGTCATCAGTTCTAAAATAAAAATGGATATGCCCAAGCTTTAGAGTTTAAAGACCTCGGCATTTGTCCCAAGTGTCGATAAGATGCCATTCAAGTTGAAAGTACTAGTATATGTGACATTTTACAACCAAATAAATTAAAATATCGTTAACAATAGTACATACAGCTAATTGTCTAAAAATGTTTCAAGTATAAAAACAACTAGAAATTATTTACTTTACCTAGAAACGTCAGTGAGTTAAATATACAAAGTGTAATTTATCATAATGATTGCCAAGTGTAAACAAGTAAGGTGTAAATACTCTTTTTACATACTCGTTTGTAATAAATAAGCCCAATGAGTAACGATAGAAGAAGAAAATTTTAAACCCGCACCAAATTATTATGGTTCCATTGTTAGTTGAACTTTTACATCATACATCGTTCTGGTACTTGTTTATTTGTTTTTTGCAATCATATTAGTCCACAGTTAATATTTCTATTCCTTTTGCAGATACCAGCCTACAGTAAATATGGTGGCTCAGGAGGTGCTTCAGCTCCAACTACATACTCTCGTTACGGGCAGCCAAGTGATTCATATTCTTCGCGTGACAAAGGAGGCTACAGTGGTTACACATCTGGATCTGGCTACATTTCTGATTATGGTAAATCTGGCAATATTTCTGATTATGGTCGGTCGGTTTCGGGTTATGGTTCCGGCTACGGCTCAGATTATAAGTCTGGTTACACGTCAGATTATGGACGTTCGGGTTATGTATCAGACTATAATAAATCAGGTCACGCACCTGACTATGGTAAAACAAAATACATTGGCCAGTCGTACAGTCCTTATGGTCACGTAGCTGATAAATACCTTTCTGCAACCACATCAAGGCCCTCCTATGGCTCTTACTCTCGTAGCATAAGTCGAGATGAACCCAGCTATGGTAAAAATGCATACTCCAGAAGCTCAAATAAAAATGACTTGGGAAGTAATAGATCTTATATTCCTTATTCGCAATCTACCAGCCGCGAGAATGCCGCGTCGAATTACTCCAGGGTAAACAGCAGAGATGACTCACGCCCAAGTTATTCTCGAACATCTAGTAGAGATAGTTCAATACCATCTTATTCGAGAAGCAACAGTAACGATAGCACCTGTTACTCCAGACAGAACAGCAGGGATCTTGGTCAGAGTCTTTCAACCATAAACGAAACCATAGCTCACAGTCCCAGCAAAAGTAAAAACTTTCCCATAACAAAATCAGAATCAAAAGCTAAAACCATGAAGGTTCCTGCAGAGTTTACGTCAGATTCTGAGTCTGAAGAAGAAACTTCTTCTGATGAGGAAGAGTTCCTACAGTGCAGAGCTACATCACCATCAGTTGAAACTACAACTGGCGAAAACAATTCTAATGCTGTCTCGGCTCCTATGAAAATTAAGAAGCCAACAACTGAAAAAAAGGTTCCCGTGAAAAAAGAATCGGTTGGTCAACAGGTCAATCCCCAAGATCTGCCCGATTCACTTTCACGATCTGACAGCACTAAACGCCGTTACTCATCATCAGCCTCACGACCAAATTCCCTATATTTTGACAGATATTATTCTAAGTACGCTACACCCACTTATCGTTCATACAGGCCTCCAACCAGTAGTGCTGTATCAGATTACACGCGGCGTAGTTCAAAAGAAGAAAAAGTTCCTTCATCGCCTGTCCAGGCAAAAACACCACCAAGTCCCTCAGCAAGAAACTTATTGAATGTTGAACAAGATGCACCTTTTGCACGAGATATATCGCCAAACGACCAAGATCGGCCAGAAAATCAAACATCGGAAGAAAACAGCTTTAATAAAGATTTTAGAAAATCAGTATTAAATATGAATCTTGATGACAACCAAAAACAAGCCTGTATTAGAAACCAAGACCAACGAGAGAAAAAGGACATTTCTTTTAATGACAAAAGAGACGACAGAAACATTTCCCGTTCCAGCTCAAGAAGTAAATGTCAAACTGGTGTCGGTCGCAGCAACTCAAGAAATGATATCAGGAGGAACGAATCAAGGAGTAACATGGATTCAGTAACAAAATCTGGTTCCAAAAGTCGAATCCCCAGAAGGAAAGGTAGCCGAGAGGACTTATTAGATGCCAAAGCAAGTGACAGATCAAGAAGCTCTTCTGCTGATCTTCTGGAGAGCCATGTGTCAACTTCCTCATCGAGTGATGATGACTCTGATGAACGAAATGGCAGAAGCAAAGCTTCAAATACAAGTCGACCAAGGCGACGACGAAAGGGTTCCAAGGATGATCTTTTGGAAGAAGATAAAACATCTGGGTTCAGGGCTTCACGAGATCTCCCTCCAGTACCAAATCGAAAAGTATCCAATGAAAGTGTGGTGGAAGATAAATCATTTTTTCCAAGACAAAAATCCTTTGGAGATAAATTTTGGCCTCCTCAAAGTGAATATCACCCAGAGTACAAACGTCAATCTTCAGTTAATTGTATAAACGAGAAGAATAAATATGGACCAGAATCTACACTTACAGATATAAACAATATACCTCACAAAACAGAAGGCCCTGTTGAATTGGAAAAAGTATCTTCTAGCGAAACCGAAAGTAGTACAGAAGAATCAGAAGATGAAGCAAAGAAGCCCGCACTAGAGGCGCCTGTAAATAACATAGTAATTGAAGAGAGTAATGCTGAAACTAACGAAGATTCATCTGAGGAAGAAGAGTCCAGTTCCTCAGAAGAAAATGCATCAAAAAATCAATTACAAGTTTCTGGGAATAATTCGCCTGCTGTACAAAAATCGCCTACCGTCATTCACGTCAAAGGTGTAGGAACACGTGAAGAAATGCAGAATTCGCAACCATCAGTTGATTCACGAGTTAATGAATCGCTTCCAGAAGAATCCAGCGAAAGTGAGGAAGAAAGTTCAACTGAGGAAGTAGAAACTTCAGAAGATGATAAGAAAAATAAAGATGAGCAACTTCCTTTTTCTCCGTATGATAATGTGACCGAGAAATTTACTTTCAAACCAGTTACTGGTGTTAATAAAGAACCATCACAAAGAGATTCTGGATTTTCGGAAATTGCACCATGCAGTGAATCTCCACACGAAAATGCTTGGACAGGTTCGCCTCCTGTAACAACCTCAGGATATTCACCTAAACTGCTCGAGAAAAATATTCAAAAACAAAAATCCAAATCTGAAGAGCAAAGTACATCTGGAGAATCTGAAGAAGAAACATCGGATTCAGAAACAGAAGACCCAGAGAAAACAATAAGCTCATCAAAAACCACTAAAAATTACCCTTCTTCGAAGTTCATTGGTGACTGCAAAGATATTGATTCTTTGCTTAGTGACGTTAAAGGAGAACCAGAAACATTTGAAGAATTTGAAAGTAAACTTGAGAAAGAAAACATCATAGATATTACTTCCCCAACATCAGATGAAGAAGAAGAAGATAATTCTAATTCAAAACAACAGGATTCCAGAATGGACGCACGAGATAAGCTGGTTTTGTTTATTGGACAATGTCAGGATATTGACGAAATGCTAGGATCACCTTCACCGGTAAGTCCTCTTGTGCAACAAGGAACTTCTAGTCATAGAGACCTATTCAGTACTGCTTCTCAGGAAAAAAAAACTACACAGTCAGTGAAGCCTAACCAGATACACGAAACGAGTAAAAATGAAACTGAAACGGAAGAGGAAAGTGAAGAATCATCGGAAGAAGAAAGTGAAAATAGTCCTTTGGAGGAAGTTGAACCATCGGCAGTGAGAGTTCACGAATCCAAAGCTCAACAACCACAGCTGGACTCTTACACAGAAGAAATTGATTCAAGTGCTGTTAGAATCCGTGAAAATAAGCCAATGAACACAGAACTTAGAGAATATACAGAAGAAATCGATTCTGGAGCTGTAAGAATTCGGCAGCCACAAGTTATGCAGGGACAGATAACAAATCCAAAACATAAGGTAAGTGGCTAACTAATGTTTCATTTGATAATTTGCAGGTTAAACAGTGAATGGCCTACAATTTGTTCAACGAATATAAAACTCGTATTTGATAGCACAGAAACTCCCAGCAGATAAAACTGTCTAAAATATATTGGTGATTCGGAAATGTTTATTTAGTTGTAATTTACACTTTCACTAAACACGAAAACCTCAGGTTTTCTATATTAAGCTTGATTTATAAGTGGTTCAAAAGTTTTCTTTCATTAAGTGTTTTTAATTTTTCTTATTTTGAATTAATTTGCTCATTCTTCACAGTTTAGAAAGTTATGATATTGATAATCATTCACACTAACAATATATACCCGGAGCATGATGATCATAATATATATATATATACGTATAATGAGATTTCATTAGGATTCCAATGACACGTTGTTGTTTATTCTGAATTCCCAACTTTTGTATATATATATATATGTGTGTGTGTGTCACGAACATTCAGACATTTCAAATCTTATTTTGTTAAGCTTTTGAGTTCAAAATAGTTATATTTAAACATTGGTCTTATTTGTTACATGAAATTCAAGTTTTTAATTTTATTAATGAAATGTGTATAGGTATACCAATAAAGTTTGTTTTGATTTACATTTCACTAATAAGATGTTGCGACTATTGTTACAAAAAATTAAATTTCTTTTCGAGATACAAATGCAATTTACATCGAGTTCATTCGCAGTGCCTAAAGGTCATTGCAGTTATATTTATTTTCAGTACACATAATTGTCGATAGATGGCACCTTCATTTCAAATTTTTAATAATGTATTATTATCCCCTGGTGAGTAAAAATTCGGCACATGTGAATCATTTTGTTTAATTTAAATCAAATAATGTTTTGATACAGTTCTCTAGAATTTTTTTATTTACGATCAGCATCATAATTAGTTGAGAAACAAATATTTTATCTTAAATATAAAATATTTTATGAGGAAGATACTAGTTTTAACTACTTCTTTAACTAGTTTCTTAATTTTATTTATTTTATTTTAGTTAATTTATGCTTTAAAATAACTTAGGAATTGAATGCGTATCTCATAATATATATATATATATATAGATCTAGTCAAAACTACCTCAGGTGTGGAAAAAAAGTGCGGCCAAAAAGATTGAGTGTGCGACTTATTTTGTTTTATCCACCATCATGCCCCAAGTTGAGCCAAAAACATGGCCTGGTTAACTAATGAATGAATATTTGCTGTAAAATTATTATCAAGGTAACTACCAGTGTGTCCGCTAATTTTTACTTAATTCCTTTAAGTCGCACACTCAATCCTTTGTTAGCCCCACCTTTTTTCACACCTAAGGTATTTTTGATTAGATATCATGATTTTTTGTCAATACCCACCAACAAACCATAGCAAGTAAGAAAGTGACACTCGATAGTAACTCACATTAGCGTTAGGATCACAACCCTATTATTCTGAACAGACCTTTACTTTACAGAATCAACTAGACTCTTTAAAATATTTGGTGGTAGTTTTACCTCTATAAAACAGTGTAAATAACTTCCTTTATGGTAACGACATGGAATTTAGATTACCAGTTCCTTGTCATCACCCCCATGCAATCGATACAGCCGACAGCCGTATTAAGAATCATTATTTATACTAATTTCTTAAGCCCATATCATGTGACGCTAAACGCTTTTATTTTTTAAAAAAATCATAAAATTTAGTGAATTTTTGCTGAAAAGTTGTCAATGAATAATCAATAATAACCGTCCATCCGTATGATTCTTTTGAAAACTTCAGCTAGAAACTGTTAATCTAGTTTACTTGGCCTAACCAATACTTATGTACCTTTCACCTTATAGTTTTGCTACTCTAAGTCATCAGTCTTTAATCCGAATGACAAAAACTAAAAATGATCCACTTTTCCTTTAGGTGAAGCTGTAGTAAAAATGTTAGATCAGTAGTTCACGTGACTTGTGGTTTATATTTAGACCAAATGAGACTCCTAATTGTAAATTGCAAAGATCTATCAGTGTAGCGAATTTGAAAAAAAAAAATCCATAAAAGTTAAGTATGTTTTTCTATCAAATAAAGTTTCCATAGTTTGTTGCGAAGAAAAAAGAAATAGTAAGAAACTCAATCAAAATTGGAGATGTTATATCTCAGGTATTTCTTAATGGATTGCCTTGAAATTAAGTATGTGAAGTAAGAGTCCAGTAGAGTACATACACTGAAAATATGAGTTAGTTTGGATGACGACTAGTTCGAGATACAGAAGATGGAAAATCGCTAAACTGTCACTCCTGTTAATAACACACAGTGTGTCCTGCAGCAGGTTGTCTTGGCCGCACGACACACTACCGTGTATTTTGATATATCAGGTCGTCAAGAAATTAATGTCGCTTTTTTTTTAGACGAAGAAACCCGAACTACTTATATATCAAAACATTCATTAAATAGGTTGTTAATGCCCTGATTAAAGAAATCACTTGGCTTTGAAGCAAAAACCATGTCGATGTCCTCTTTAACAGCTTCCACATTTGCATACGTTTTCCCACTAAGATGGTGTTGCAGCGAACGAAAAAGTTGATAATCTGATGGAGCCCTTATCTGGAGAATATGGTGGGTGGGGTGAGAACTTCCCAACCCAACTCCATAATCTTGTGTTGCGTCAA